TCACTATGCCCATCTGTCAACATGTGTGAGAAATCATAAATGATGTGATACTGTACAGCATGAGGAAAATACATCTCTATGCATGTATGTAATGTGTGCATGTCAATGCGATGCAACTCAGTGATAAAATCATATGCATACTCTCAGAGTATCATTTCACTCAGTCCTCCCAGTCACTCATTCCTCCCAATCGCTCAACACTCGCACTCGGCACTCGCACTCAGTAGGTACCTGCGCTCACTGGGGTTGTTCAGACTCATGAGGGGCTCCTACAGCCTAAACGCTATAATCTGCACGGACAACTCACGTGTTGCACGAACAACTCATGTATTATAATAATATCTGGATATGTACGGACAACTCAAGTGCTGCACGGATAACTCACGTGCTATAATAATATCTGGATCCGTACGGACAACTCATGTGCTGCACGGACAACTCACGTGCTATAATAAATCCTATAAGGCCTGCTGCAGGCGGGCAACCCCGATCCACATAATAATCCTCACAATCAGGCCCTCAGCCTCACTCAGTCATTAATCTCTCCAGTCTCTCTCTCATGGGCTCACAATATCATGAAATAGCCCAAAAATGATGATATGATGTATCAATAATTAACAACAGAGACTGAGATATGATATGTAATGACATGAATATGAGTGAGTATGAATTTTCAATTTAAAACAAATAATTCACAGTAATATGACCTTTGTGGGTCCCAATAATACTGGCACATAGCCTCAACATGATTTTTAATATGCTTTTCAGCTCAATTTCTTTAACACATAAAACTGTATGGAAAATGCCAAGATTATTTAACTACAAAATTCGACAAAAATAATTATGTCACAATTTCTATAGTGCACGCCCACACGCCTGTCACCTAGCATGTGCGTCACATCCCAACAATTCACATAATACATATATTCAGGGTTCATACCCTCAGCTCCAAGATTAGAAGAGTTACTTACCTAGAACAAGCCAAATCCAATGCCGAGCAAGCTAAACAATGTTCCAGAAATTCCAATATGCGCGTATCAACTTCCAAACGGCTCGAATCTAGTCACAATTAATTTGATTCAGCCCATAAAATTTATAGGAATTAATTCCATATCAAAATACTAATATTTTCCACAAAATCCTAAATTACGCCCCAAAAATCACCCGTGGGGACCACGTCTCGGAATCCGACGAAACTCACAAAATACGAAAACCCATCCAATTACAAAGTTCAACCATACTAATTTCACTCAAATCCGACTCCGAATCGGTATTCAAACACAAAAAATTCATTTTGTGACATTATAGAAATGTTCTTCTATTTCTCTTGAAGATTCGATAATCTTACACTAAAAATAAAGATTAATTCATGAAATATAATCACAAGGGAGTCAAGAACACTTACCCCAAATTGTGTAGAAAAAATTCCTCTCCAAAAGCACCCAAACCGAGCTCCAAAATGACCAAAATGAGAAAAATCTCGGAAACTCACGTTTTTAACACTGCCCAGGCATTTCCGCACCTGCGATGCCTGGGCTCGCACCTGCGCATCCGCTTTTGCGTACGAAAATGCGCGCCTGCAAAAACAGCCGGCCTTCTCAAATCTTGCATCTGCGGCGCCCTTCTCGCATCTGCGGGCTCGCAGATGTGCATACCCCTTCGCACATGCGGCCTCGCAGATGCGGCAATTTCTTCGTACCTGCAAGCACTGTCCAGTTCCACTCTTGGCTGCTTCCGTGAGTGGTTGCGCGCACGTGCGGCTTCGCACCTGCAATCAAAATCTTTGCAGGTGCAATCACACCAGTAGGCAGCAGTCCCAGCATTTCCTTAAGTCCGAATTTGATCCGTTAACTATCCGAAACTCACCCGAGGCCCCCGGGACCTCAACCAAATATACCAACAAGTACCATAACATAATACGGACATACGCGATGCCTCAAATCACACCTAATAACATCAAAACAACGAATTATACCTCAATTCAAAATCAATAAACTTTGAACTTTCAAATTCTATATCTTGTGCCGAAACACATCAAATCAATCCGGAATAACTTCGAATTTGCACAAGTCACATTTCACATTACGAACCTATTCCAATTTCCAGAATCGGATTCCGACCCCGATATCAAAAGGTCAACCCCCCGGTCAAACTTCCCAAAAATTCAACTTTCGGCATTTCAAGTCAAATTCCACTACGTACCTCCAAATAATTTTTCGGACACGCTCCTAAGTCCAAAATCACCATACAGAGCTATTAGAATCATAAAAACTCCCTTCCGGGGTCGTTTACACATAAGTCGACATCCACTCACTATTTTAACTTAAGCTTTAAACCTTGAAACTAAGTATTCCAATTCATTCCAAAACCTCACCGACCCGAATCATTTACCTTAGCAATTTACACAAAAACTGTAAAGTATAATTTGAGCAGTAAATTGGGAAGCGGGGTTGTAATACTCAAAATGACCGGCCGGGTCATTACAGATAGCTAATATCGTATAGGTATGCTTTAACACGTGTGTCGATCTCTTCAATCTTTGACATTCTTTTATTAAATTCATCAAGCGTGTATGATCGTGTCATGGCAAAGTATAATTCGCCTAACTTTAGATGACCTTTCTTGAACTTTGACCTTACATTTGTCCAAATATGCCACATGCAAGTATAATGTGGCACGCCGGTATAAATAGTAGATGTTGCCTTCAATATACTCTCATTCCGGTCTGAAATAACACACATATTTGATTTTTTACCATATGCATGTTTGAATTGCTCAAAAAGACACCTCCATGATGCGTCATTTTCTAAATCAACAACGACGTATGCTAGTGGTAATATGCTACCTATCACATAGGTAGCAAAAAAAAATTCAATTTCAGTAATAAAACTTGAAAATATAAAAAATACAGTCTCAGAAACAACTTTATTACAATATTTTTACAATTAATCTACATTACCTGCTGCATCCATTGTGCTAGCTGTTAGTATGATTCCCTTATATGCCAACTTCAAGAAGGTGCCATCGACTATTACAACTGGCCTACAATGCTCCCAACCCTTGATGGGCGTACCAAGAGCAACAAATTCATACAAGAAACAGTCATCTTCAGTCTTCTGCAATTTTACTACCGACCCCGGATAAACCTTCTCAAGAATATACAAATAACTCGGCAAGCGATTGTAGGAATCAACAGGATGACCTCTCAAAAATTCCAAAGCCTTTTCCTTTGCTCTTCCAGCTTGCGTGTATGTTAAGTTCACACCATGTTCCGACAATATGTCACTTTGTATATCTTTTGGTGTGTATATTGTCTTAGGATCCGCATATTTTGGCATCACCATGCTGCCAACTACCATGACAGTAGCTTTGCATTGTATATATGTGTTGTCCATCAAAGAGCATGTGTGCAAACTGTTGAATTTTCGAACCTTGAGCAATGCTGATTCATTTATGCTGGTGGACTTGAAGTGCCACGTACAATTGTCCCAAACACATACGAGGCAGTAGCTACAAAATAAAAATAATTAAAAAATATTATGCAAATTGTAGCTACAGAATACGAGGTTATTTATGCACAATAAATTATTTTAAACAATTTATATACAATTTATATATAACTTATACACAATATGAATTTGACAAATAAAATGTTCCTACCTTCTTGCACTAGACCTTTTCACCCTAAATCGAAACTTATTCATAACAGAATAGTGCTTTATTGTACTGATAATTATTTGCTTGTTTTGGCAAACTTGGCCTACTTCAATTACATTTGGCGTATGTTCTGTCATGATGATACTTTCATATTCCACAATTGCCGGAGATGTTGGCATATCAATCAACTTCGCAATTCCTGATACTTCTCGAATTGTGTTACAAATGCTTGACAATTGTACCATGTTATTATTACGATAATCAGAAGTACCTGTACTCAATTAAAAGTATAGTAATTCAGAACTCTGTATATTCAAGTATTCAGTATTTGACAGAATACTTTTAGATACTTTGTTCTGTGATCACATTTTTATTTTTTTAAACCTTAAGTAATGTGTAACAGTTAAACTTCAATTGTATTTAGAGATATAACAGTTAAACTACATTTGCTATGCAGTATAGTTGTAGAACACTTGAAATTGAAAAATATCAGTATTGGAAAAACAGAGAAAACCTGCAATTGTGCTCGCATTCGACATACTGCATTCCAAATCGAAATCACGTACTGTTATACACAACAGATATATTCCTAAGTTTTTATTTTCCTTTTTAGTCTCCATATACACTCGAACTCCCATATCGTTCCGAATTTTCATTGGAGGACAACGTTCGTTGACAGTGTATTTGATTTCGACGATTTTTGCCGAGCTATCTATCATTAGATGCTCTGCAATTGCGGAATTCATTTGACTATAATTTGAATCTTCATTGACTATAATTCTGTCAACATCAAAATCTTTGTATCTCCCAACGCTATCCCACCGACCATTGAGCTGAAGCATAATCACCAATTTTGACATTATGTCGCGAAGTTCAATTCAATTGTAGCTAAATGTTTGCAATTGTTTTCTTCAGAAGTTTTTTTTTTTTTTGAGTTTGTTGACTTGTTTATGGAAAACCAGAGGAAATCTGCATAATAGAAGGATTCTACAGATATGTTGCCTTGATTAGGGTGCGATGATAACCAGAGAAAATCTGAGTAATAGAAGCATTTTACATATATGTTTGCCTTAATTATGGTGCGATGATTGCGTCTAAAATTTCTAACTGAAATATAAGTTATCCCAAAATCGCGTGTATAAATAAGGAAGTCTAACGCAGAAAGGAGTCTAGTTTAAACAAATGTATATTTTTTGTAGCTAAAACATGTTTAGGTCGGGTAAATTCCAAAACAGGGATATTTTTGGTAATAAGGTTTCAAATAGTGTATAAGAACGAAAAAATCTCTTTCTTTTAACCATTTTGCCACCACTAGTCATAGCTCTTAATCTTGGATAATGATATACGCACAATAAATCTGTAGTAACAACAACAAACCCAGTAAGTTTCCAAAAGTGGAGTTTGGGGAAGATAATATATAGTTGTATACGCAGACCTTATCTCTATCTTGGGAGGCTTTTTCTGATGGACCTTATCTCTAAACAAGAAATCTGTAGCAAGCTTCAGTTTTTCATCCAAGAAAATAACATTAGAGGCAACATTTGACAAGGTATTTGTTGTCAACTCTAAAATCTATTAAAAAGGGACTTAGTTCTTCGACTGAAATGAGAGATTGACCAACAGAGCAAAAACAGGAAAAATGACTTTCACTCTGAAGAGAAAACCTTGGTTTCTAACTGGTAAGCTTTTGTGAAGAATGAGGGCCAAGATAGATACGTCGAGAAGATACTACTAACAGTAGAAGCTCCAATAAGCATATTCATTACTACAATTTGCAATTGAATTGCCTCAAGAGGAGATGCTCCTCCCATTATAAGTCCTGTCATTGCACCTGGAAGCGATATTAGACCAACTGTTTTTGCATTGTCCAACACAGGAGATAAAGCAATAACCAACGATCTTTTCACTTGTTGAATTGTTGCTTGTCTTGGCGTTGCCCCTAGAGCCAAGGCTGTCTCTACCTAGCCAAAAAAAGAAAACTTTTTGAGTATCATAGTACGAAAAGTGCCATATACCAAAATTGAACATAATAGTATAGCAACATTATTACAGATTAAATAAATTTGTCGTGATTGGGCAGGAATTTAGAGAGAAAATGATCAAATTTGCCACTGTACTATCCGAAATTGATCAACTTTACAGATATGTTAGACTTTTGGTCTAATAATACCTTCACTGTTAGAAAAAAGTCTCGTTTTGCCCGTGTGGAGCTCCCCTGAGGATAATTTTAAACTAGTTTAAGTTAAGGGGTAAATTTTGAAGAAATATAACATATATGTGCGTGCACCTATGCTCAAAGACTTCTATGGTGCAATAATTACTGGGTGCACTTTTACAAGTGAAATTGACGGAATATAGATATATAAATGAAAATACTAAAATTTCAAAAAGAATATAATTTTGAAACTATAATTTCAAAAGTATGGTGTGCTCAGGGTACGAGACTATAGTTAACCATCAAATATAAATTCTAGATCCACTTCTTCATAATAGTGTACCCATCCTTTTGAAATTCTGGATCCCCCTCTGTGACTATTAGTAGCAACAAAAAATATGAGACGATTTGCCAAGAGTATGAATAAGACCAAACGTGTAACAGAAGTCAAAATTGAGAAATTTCGGATAATATAGAGATGTTGCATGTATTAAGATGTCAAACTTATCGTCTACTTTTAGAAGATGTTTGAAACAGAGAACTTATAAGTTGTGACGATTAATCGATAGGGATATGAGACGTACCAGGGCCATTTGTATCTTGATGTCATCGCGAAGTTTTTTCATTGTAACGCCAGTGACTGTCATTGAATTGCCAACCATCATCCCCGCGACGGGGATGATGTAGCGAGGAGTGAAAGGGAAAACATTCAAAATTACCAATAAAAACATAGTGATAGCAGTTCCAGTAAGAATGGAAACTCCTGCTATATATTTTCCCCTTGGTACATGTTTGGCACGTTGTCCTGCCGTATAACCAGCAATAGTAACCTGCATAATCAACAAATTTTAATTAGTAAGAAAATTATCTACTTAATTTGATGCCATAAAATCATTAGTAATGAGACCATGATTTAGTTAATATATACTGGCCAATATTCGCAGTGTAAACAACAACAACAAAGTAATCTCACAAGTGGGGTTTGGGGAGGGTAGAGTGTACACAGACCTTACCCTTGCCTTTAAAAAAACAGGGAGACTGTTACCGGTAGACCCTTGGCTCAGGAAGGAAAAAGGGGAGGGACAATAACACGCAAACCAATCTGACAGCCGAAAAGAAAATATTCGTAGTGTAATTGGTTTGAAAATCAGCATAAACACTTGTGAAAAGAAAATATTTTCTAATTATTTTCCTTGATTGTTGAAAAATCTGGAGTCAAGATTGTTGGTAGTTTTGGTGTTCACCTCGTCGATTATGATCCCACTAACAGAAGTAAGCTTAATTTCTGAAAAGTGTTTGTTAAGAAGCCTAAAATATTAAAAGGACTAGATTTAGGTGTCTTTTGTAAAACATAAGTCATTTTCCACAAAAATCTCTTTCAGAAAATGGCTTACATTTTCCGATATTTGGCCGGAAAATAAATTTTTTTTATTATAACGGGAGTTTAGTACATCATGCTGCCTTTGGCCGGAAAATAAAACTTTTATTGATTAAAAATTGATACATTGTACTATTTTAGCAAATTTGATAATGTTTTGATGAATCTTTTTTGTATAAAAATTGATAATAATGTATAATTATTAGCTGAAACAAGGATATGAAGTCCAGAGTTAAGATATTTATTAAAGAACATCACTCCCGCCCAAAACTAAGGGAAGCCATTTTCAACTTTTATTTAAAAATACTTTTTCTAATTTTATCGGATGTCCCCTAGGGGACAAAATACCTTTTTCTAATCGAACACAAAAAGACTGCCTAATTAAAAGATGATTTAGAAGGTTAACATACTCAAAGGGAGAGGAAAAGAAAAATTAAACTAAATAGCCGTCTATCCGACTGCTTAAACTAAATATAATTGGTGGATGTATAATATGGATATAATCTTTGCATGATTTTTGAATAAATATATATAATTAGTGTATAATTTATGTATATCGACTAAGAAAAGTAAACAATGAATTCGGATGGCTATTTGTATAAAAAATCCTAAAAAAGAAAAAAAGAGAACATGGATGCCAATTGCAATAAAGTCAACTACAGAATCAGCAAGTGGGAGAAGAATACCATTATTTAATTCCTTTTGGATTCTGTAATCAAATAGATAATGATAGAATAAAATAGGAGTGCAACCAACCAAATCATAATAAGAAAAATGAAAAACATGTATTTGTTGAATGATTCTTTGCTTAACGCGAAAAGAAGAGGAGAATCTTGATGAAATAGGTTTTATATCTTTAGACTTTGGTAAATAATTGACCTCGAGAAACAAGAGGAAATAGTAATAAACTACAATAACAATATTAAATATGCTTCAATTTAAAATAAGTTAAATATTCACTATATAAATTGTTACTAGTCATGTCACTCCGTTTAACCTTATCTTAGACCCTTATGGTCTAAAATAAAAAAATAAAAAAATACTAGAATTTATCTATATTTTCTAGTGATATATAAATCCCGGGCATGTCTATGATGTACATTGACTTGTATTTTATAGATGTTTGGAGTAGGGGTGTTACAAACCGAATCGAAACCGAAAACCGAATCGAAATCGAAGCTTAATGGCTTATTGGTATCGGGTTAACGGTTTAACGGACGGGGAACAAATTGAAATTTTTTTATTAACGGCTTATCGGTTTGGGGGCGGATTATTCAATTTTCTTAACGGATAATCCGTTAACCCGTTAAGAATATATATATATAAAATTTATTTTTATCCATATATATATTAAATATCAAAAACTCTTCCACTTCTTCCAGCTATTAGCTTAGCTTATTCTCTCACCCTACTATAAGATTGTTTAAGCTGCTGTCTTTGGTTCACCTCTACTTTTGTTTTTTAAAACTAATGCATGTTGTCTATGTTTAATAGAAGAACAACAGTGTTGTTGCCACAACTTTTATCCCACAATATTGACGATAGTACTGTCTTGAATTATGTTCTGGGGAAATAGCGCATCTGCGTTTCCTGTAAATTGTTTACTGCTTATAATCCATCCCTTTTTCTATACATAACTGTCTTTTGCTCGGTGTTGTTTGTATGGTTAATGATATAGCGTGAAATGCCTGGTTGAGAGTTTAAGTTAGAAATTTGAAGTTGTTGTTTGAACTTTGAAGCTACATAAATTCAAGCTTTGTTAGGCGTTAGCTGCAGGCCAAACATTTCTGTGCAGTCTGCTCACTTATGGGTTAATCATTTTGAAATATGTATCCTGGACTCACTTTGAATATAGACTGAAATTTCCTATTTTGAATTTGTATGCGAGGTGTTAACAGACATATGTATGTCTGGACTCATGTAATGTAGTCTGCTTTGGGATTTAATGGTAGGCGTTAACATACATGTATGTCTGGACTCATATGTAGTCTACTTTGGAATGTAATCTAGCCTACAATGTGTTCTACTTTTTTTACTCTACAACACATGACACACTACATCATTTTTATGTAGGCGTTAGCAGACATATTTGTCTGGACTCAATGTGTAATTTCCTATTATGAATTTGTATGCTAGGCGGTCAACAAACAATTAATGCACGCAATATAGATTTAATTAGGCCGATAAACCGCCCGATAAGAGCTAAATCGATACCAATCCGCCCGATATCTTATCGGGTGGCTAGCGGATTAATACATTTAAAAGCCGATAACCGTTAAGCTAAACCGTTAAGAGTAATTAACTGCCCAATCCGCCCGATAAGCAGCCCTAGTTTGGAGGGAGATTGGATACTTAATTTATCTCACGCTTTTTTGCACAGGCTAGTGCTGTAATAGTAGTCCTAGTCTAGAATATCTAAGAGTTTGGAAATGTCCAACTCTCTGATTTAGGAAGTTAAGAGGTAAGGTCACATGTCCCCCTCCTTTGTACCATTTTGGATGTTAATATACACGGTAGGTGTATGCCAAAACCCTCCATCACCGCAGGAGGTGAAAGTCTGGGTGAATGAATTTTTTTTTAAAAAAATAAAAAATAAAAAAAATCCCGGGCATGATTAGATGACTCTTAGAAATATAGGACCTATAATAAATGTGCTAACATGACTAGAACGCATATATACATATAAGGGTGTTCATAAAAATCGGAAAAATCGAACCAAACCGATAACCGAATCAAATCGACGAAAAAAACCGATACTTTTTAGGTTTGGTTTGATTTTGGTTTTGAATTTTAAAAACCAATCAAATTTGGTTTGGGTTTGGTTTTAATCAAAAAATAACCGGAAAAAACCAAATCAAACCGACTATAGAAGTAACTATTTAAATTTATTATTACACATATATACATGTATATTTTTATATAAAGTTTCTAAAATGTTATGGTGCATATTAGTCGTTTGTATTTTAAGTCTAGTTCTTTGCTATTACAATAATCTAATTCTTTGCCTTTACATTCTAGTTTGATTGGTAGTTTATTTTTGCTAAGAACAAGAATTATTTTTTGTTAAAAATAATCGATTTTTAATTGAGTACTTAAATTATTCATCACTATTCAATTCAATTATCATCAATATATCATGGTAAATGATAGATTTCTCAAAGAGCAATTAGTTTGATAGTATTACGTTGAAAATATAGTCGCCGGAATATGTGTTTGGTAGTGTATGTCTCATATTTAAGAAAAAATTCGATAAATAACCAAAAAACCGATAAAAACCGACAAAAACCGAATCGCTAAAAAACCGACTTAATTGGTTTGGTTTGGTTCCAATATTTTAAGAACCGACTTACTTAATTTGATTTCTTTTTAGAAAAAAATCGATCCAAACCGAACCATAAACATCTCTATATACATACCTTTATTCTATAGTGCCTTATCTTTCATTGAGTGAGAAGGAATTTTATTTCGGTACAACTTCTTTTTTAAGCTTACCTTGTTCATTTAACACTTTCACTATGATCTCGTACATGTGGAAATCGACATAAGTTATACCATATGACTAAACCATCTCAAGCGATTTTTGTAAAATTTGTAAAGGAAAATCAATTCTAGAAATTCACTATTTATTGGAGAAAAATAGTAAAATAAATAAAATCAGATAAGCCTTTACGGTTTTATTTAGTAATTACATAAGTGTAACAAAATTATATATTTCTGCATTTGTTTGATTCATTTTCTAAAGAAGAAGAAAAGGAGTACATACTACATACCATGAATAGATAAGCAAGAATGATCCAACCAGCATTCTTCTGACTGAAAATGAATTGAAGAACAAAACCAATAATGGATAGTTGAACAAAAGCTCTGAAAACTGAGTAAATCATTTCACCTTCCAATCCCAGTTTCTGTACATAAGACAAAGCTACAGCCATAAATACAACTGCAAGTGCTGCAATTGGCTTTATCATTCCTCTCAAGAAATCCTTCAGCCAGTTCCACTCCATGTCTTCTAAATTGAACATCAAATTTATTTAGGAGGAGAAATTTCTAAATTGTGAAAAACAGAAAACTAAAAGATAATAATTATTAGAGAGTTCGAGAATATTTATGGGTGTAAGAAACTTTAGGAAATGACCTCACTCTTTTTTTTATAGTATATAATATATATTCTTTTTCTTGTTTTAACTTTTGTTTCTTTTCCTTTCTAAAGGATGAAAATTAGAAAAGACCTTCCCTAGATGGTCTGTACCCGAAAGCATAGGAACGTACGTACGACCACATACGAAGTGGGCCCCACTATTTGTGGACAAAGTATATCTTCTGTTTAGTGGGCTTGGATTTTAGTGATATTGTGGGACCTCAGGATACTGTGTTTTAGAGGTGAGGTACACGACAAAATATATATTTGTTTTTTATATATAATATACTTTCGACTAGTAAATACAATTAATTTCAATTGTTCGGTCAGTTTTGTATTTTGTGCAATTCTACAACTTATGACCAATGGATAAAAGTCTACTCCCGCTCTCATTTTTATATCAGATCAATAAATATAAGATATTTTGTCATACAAAAATTTATTACTTAATTATAGTTAAATAATACATATTTTTACTTTAAGATTTAACTATTAAAGTTAAACTGTTTAATTTAATTTAAATATCGAGTGCAATAAATATTTATCAACTTTTCAGTAATGAAGTAGAGAATGGAACTGCTCTGATCCCGCGACTGAGCTGGTGTAATGTGTTGCCTACCTCTCTTTCTTTCAATCTTTAAAAGTTAGGCGTGGGTTTAATTGGGGAAAGAATGCAAAGGAAAGGAAAGGAAAGTGTAAATTTTTAATAATTTTATTTAAAAAGAAGAAGAGAGAATGGATAAAAAGGGATATTTTTTTGGTTGCTATTTATAAGCAAGTGGAGTAAGGAGAGATAGCTTTTAAAGGCAATTGTAAATTTGTAATTGAGAATACTCTCCTTGTTATTTTCTTTGTTACTTGTGAGAAAAGAGAATTTAATTTTGAATCATATACTGTAAGGGCTAAGGGAATTACTAGGCTGAGAGTGTGGTCTTGGAACATAGAAACTTTGACTAGAAAATCTGTAGAGTTAGCGAAGATTCTCGAGAAAAGGAAGATTAATATAGCTTGTGTAAAGAAGACTAGGTGGATAGGAGATAAGGCGCGGGATGTGGGTAGTTTCAAACTTTGGTAATTTGGGAGGGTAGGGGGCATGAACGAGGTAGGTATCTTGGTTGATAAGGATCGCCATGAACTAGTGGTGGAGGTTAGGAGGATGAATGAGAGGTTGATGACTATTAAGCTAGTTGTTGGAAGTTTTACTTTGAACATAATCAGTGCGTACGCACCCCAAGCAGGCTTGGATGAGGAAGTCAAGAGGCGTTTTTGGGAGAATTTGGATGAGATGGTGCGTGGTATCCCGTATACCGAGAAGCTTTTCATAGAAGGAGATTTCAACGGCCATATTGGAGCGACATATGGGGGTATGATGATGTGCATGGTAGCTTTGATTTTGGAGATAGAAACGGAGGAGGAACGTTTTTGCTGGACTTTACTAGAGCATTTGATTTGGTGATAGCAAACTCGAGTTTCCCGAAGAAGAGGGAGCCCTTGGTCACCTTCCTGAGTTCGGTGGCCGAGACTCAGATTGATTATTTACTCTGCAGGAAGTCCGATAGAGATTTTTTCATGGATTGCAAGGTCATCCCGAGTGAGAACCTCTCGACCTTTCATAGGCTCATGGTCATGGACCTTGAGAGCACGAGGAAGAGGAGGAAAAGGGAGATGTATAGCCAACATAGGATCAAGTGGGGAGCCTTGACGGAAGCTAAAGCGCAGGAGTTGGGATCAAGCTGGTGACTATGGGGGCTTGGAGGAGTAGTGGGGACGCAAGCGCTATGTGGACCACGACTGCGCAGTGCATTAGAGAAGCCGCGAGAGAGGTATTAGGGGTCTCAAAGGGTTACTTTGGTAGTCACAAGAGAGACTGGTGGTGGAATAGAGAGGTGGAAGAAAAAGTGAAAACCAAGAAAGCAGCGTATCTGAAGCTAGTGGAAAGTGTAGATGAGGAGGAGAAGAGGGCGAATAGGGAGTATTATAAGTTGGCTAAGAAAGAGGCAAAGCTAGCAGTTACGGCGGCCAAGACTGAAACTTTTAGTCGTTTGTATGAGGAACTCGAGGGCCGAGGTGGGGATAAGAGGTTGTTCAAGTTAGCAAAGGCGCGAGAAAGGAAGGCGCATGACTTGGACCAAGTGAAGTGCATCAAGGACGAAGAAGGTAGAGTTTTGTTGGATGGGGGGCTTATCTGTCGGAGATGGCAGACCTACTTCCATAGTCTCTTGAACGAGGAGGGGGACAAGAGCATTGTACTGGGTGATTTGGAACTCTTCGGGAGTCGTTGTGACTTTGGGTATTGTAGGCGGATAAGAGTTGATGAAGTTGAGGGGGCTATGCGTAAGATGAGGAGGGCCAAAATGACCGAGCCAGATGAAATCTCGGTGGAGTTTTGGAAGAGTACAGGCAAGGCAGGCTTGGAGTGGCTCACTAGGTTATTTAATGTCATTTTTAGAACGAATAAGATGCCCAAAGAGTGGAGGCGGAGCATGATGGTTCCTTGATACAAGAACAAGGGTGATATCCAAAATTACAATAACTATCAGGTATCAAGCTGCTTAGTCATATTATGAAAGTCTGGGAAAGAGTGGTGACGAGCGCAAAACACACACTTAAATTGTGCTCGCTAGTCAAAGATAGTATAGTAAAATATCGTATCCACAGGGATTGGATTTAAACAGTATTATCATAGTTTGTAGCTAGATTGCTATCTAGGAGGATCAACAATGGAGATATATATGAATTCTAACTACAATAAACTAAAAATCTAAAGCTATTGACTAATGACAACCGCAACAAAGGTAAGCAAGGAAGTTATCAATGAAAGAAAATATGGGTTGATAGGATAGGTGCAAGATATGTTCGGGATCTAACTCTAGATAATTCACTTCTAATGTTCAAGTGAGTCTCTCGAATTCACTTAATTATCAGTACAAATGTTTAGTGAAACTGCTCTCTCGATTAAGTCTCAACCTCACTATATGAACCAATTTAAGCTCAGTGAAGATATGCAAGAATTCGTAATGGATTGGACTTTAGGAGAACCTCTTTCGATTATCCTCCTAACTAGGTTTAATCAAGGATTCAACTAGCCTTTTTTGATTACTAAGAAGAATCTATGAACTCAACCAACAATATAGTGCAAATATATCACACGTTATGCCTCTTTCGATTACAAGAACAAGTAAACATAGATGCAATAATTAAATCTTCCAAAAATGATTCAAATACATAAACATAGAGTTATAATCCACAAACAACCATCAATATACCAAATCTATCAAAACCCAAATGGTTCTACTCCATAGACATGGAGAAGTTCTTCACAAATGAAATAATAGTAGAGGAAAACATAAATACAATCCAAATCCGGATTTGAGTGAGGAAGGAAGGATGAAATCCTTGTACTCTTTCTTCTCCCTCGTCTCCTTAGCTACCTTAGGTCTAAGGTATGTCAAAAGTCCTTCTAAAATGGTGTTTTGGGGTATTTAATCCGCCCCCAAAACAAAAGCAGACAAAACAACCCTTTTCTTAGTGAAATAGGACTCTTCCCGGATAGGACATGCGCTGTCGCACACCTGGGGACTTGGTCGCGCATTTTGCACACCGTTCTGCCCCAAGTACGTGCCCAATGCGCGATTGCTCACTTGGTCGCGCACCTGGGTGGTATAGGTTGGGAATTTCGGAAAGTGTAAAACATGAAAAATGTAGCCCTTTTAAATAGCTTTCCAAATATATATTGTGGAGCCTAAGCGGATTTATGAGCTAAACGTTATGTGCATTTTACTGGACAAGGCGATGTATGCCTGCTCGATTCTTCGTTTCGTTCTTAAAGTGCACTATTATCCGTTGATCCCCGAACACGATCCCAACTTAATTATTGGGCTTTTAATCAGACTTCAAAGCTCTAAAATAGCATGAATTCATTTTACAATATCTACATAGATCGGAATCATTCCTACAAGGCATAAAACACACAATTAGTGTAAAACACTAGCGATTAAAGCTCCAACTCTATTAAAGTGCAGTAAATTGGAGTGGAATAAGCGACAAAAATACGAGATTATAGCCTACCATCAACACCCTAAACTTAAACCATTGCTCGTCCTCGAGCAATCAAACTACACTTCATATAGACATCATACCAAGAATATTTAAAATAGACTAAGCACAATAGTGTAACATCCTAGCCTCAAGATTTGACTCAATAGCACCACGCATTTTTCACAACTCGCTCACTTACTCTAACACAGAGGTCAATGACAATACATTTCCTTCATGAATCAAGTGCCCTCACCCAACAATAGAGAGTAGTTTGTCACGACCCAAAATCCAATTAGTCGTGATGGCACCCAATCCAACCCGCTAGGTAAGCCAACTTTCAATTATCAAATTTCAATAATTATTATTAAAGTAATTTATGTGAATAAACATCTTAATCTTATACATCCCCCAAGAACTGGTAGTACAAATCATGAGCTTTTAAGAATAGAGTATACAAAGCGAAAATAAAATAAATACATAGTCTGTTTGAATAATACATAAACAGAGCTTTTTATAAATCTAAGGCTACCCTGAACAAGAGGCAGCTACAACAGGAATGAAGGTACATCTTCAAGTCCCGCAACCATCGAGCATAGCAACAACAACAGCCAACATCTGCACGCAATGTGCAGAAGTGTAGTATCAGTACAACCGACCCCATGTACTGAGTAAGTAACAAATCTTGTCGTAGGTTGAAAGTAGTGACGAGCTTCTACCAAGGTCAGAGTCCAACTTACATAACCAACAATAGTTCATAACAATATTAA